GAAGGAAAAGGGGGGTGAAGAAAAAAAAAGGAGGGGGGGGGGGGGGGAGATATCCGTTACCAAGTAATGGTGTTTATAGTATCAGATGAAAGAAGCCTGCGTCTCAGCTCAGATTTTAGTTCTCCTTACAACACAGGTGTCAAGCTCGTTTGTTATGAGGGCCGGATCTGACATAAATGCTACTTTGTCTGGCTGGGTCACGAGTGCCAGGTACGTCATGCCAGGTACTGGAGATATAAACTGTATAAAGGACAGCAGCTGGTAAGCTCCGAGTTGGTGTGTCCTCACTGCAAAGCTCCATGGGCTGGGAGTGGGGTGTGTGTGCAAAGGAAAACCCATATGGGCAGACTGGAGACCCAGCGGTGCAGCACTGGGTAGACACCCCCACACTGCTTGACTGCTGCAGATGAGGTTGTTCCGCCATGCTGAAGCCACAGTCTCCTGCTCCCTCCCTTGCACTAGTTGCTCGCGGGCCAAATAAGAGCCCTGGATGGGCCGGTTCTGGCCCCCACGCCTTATGTTTGACACCCCTGCCTTAGAGGCTGTATGCTGCATCTCAGAACGCGTCAGTGTTCTGAAGGTGGCTGGCTTCTCAGCCCTTGCTAAGCACTAGCTGTGAAACAAGGGTTTGCTTGTCGCCACCCTGATTACCTTGCGCGTACTCCGCACAGGAGACAATTTGCTGGGGACTCAGAACCGGAGTCTGGGTATTGTTGGAGAGGACACGGATCCGTGCTTCCATCATGCCCATGGTAGCGAAGGCGTAGCAGCTTCCGCAGGACCCTGAGGACGACAGGAACCAATATTAGTTTATCAACAATTCCATCAGAGATCAGCAATTCCCAAATAGCAAGCCGGGGCAATTGCAAGTGTGCTAAAGAACTGTTAATACGCTGTGAGAAATGGTATGATAGTTAATAACCCCAGGCCAGCCCAATCTCATCGGATCTCAGAAGCTAAGCGGGGTCGGCCCTGGCTAGTATTTGGAAGGGCGACCTCCAAGGAATACCAGGGGCGTGACGCAGAGGCAGGCAACGGCCAACCACCTCTGAAATGTCTCTTGCCTTAAAAAAACAAGTCTAGCTCACCACCTAGTGGTGCATAATGCTAAAAGAGCTAGAACGTCTGGCTGCCAGACAACTTTAGGATCTCCTGGCTATATGACGCATGAAAATTAATTAAGTTAATAAGATTACTGCCTCCTCATTGAAAATCCGGAGGCTCGCTCCTGCATCTCTGCATGATTTTTTGTTCTGGCCTTGACTGCGTCCAATTGGCCTGTGTTACAGGCAGGCAGTTCTGCACCCTCTAGTGTGACTGGATCCTTCGGTCATGACTGCTGCAGATTAAGCACTCCTGTGGCACCTCTGCATCAGTTACTGCACTGGATCATGCCTTCCACTCAAGGGGCACAACCAGGACCATTACTCATACAGGCACACCGAGCAGAATATTCACACTCTCATACATTCTACAAAATAATTTTTGTGGGCACAAGTACCAAAGACTTTCCCCGCCCCAATTTTCACCAGCAAAATGTGCACTGACGACCAAGAATTTGGGAATCTGTTATGCCCAGGCAGTTATATCGTATGGTGTCACTGTTTTCTTTCCAAGCCACTAACCATTAAAAACATTCCACACCATTCCACATGGCAGTCAACCTTTATTTCCATTTCGCTAGGGAGGAACCAAAGCTTGGCGATGGCATTTCCCCATCACAGACTACACCATGAAGCAGAGGCTGAACAGATCCATTCCCGAGCCTGCTTGTTACCCGCTCGATCACAACAAGCTCTCGTCTCCAAAACAACTGTTGCAGCCGCCTCCTCTCCCCCAGAAATCCCCAGGGTTCCAAATGCATCTGTGTTCACGCGGTTAACGGTCTGAATGCCTTTCCCTAACACTTTCACACAATGCGGGAAGGCAGAAGGATGGAGCACACTGATGCCCCCCGGAGGGTCCCAGGGGTCACTCCCCGGCATCTCCAGTGAAACAAGGTTGGAGGAGAGCTGTACCAATCAGAACACTGTGAAACTCAAATACACAACAACTTCCTGCGTGGCTTCACAGTACTGGCTGTACGGCCTTATAGTCATGCAGCTCACACTTTAGTCATCGTTCGTGTTATAAGGACATTCGGTTTAGGGGTGGCCAGGTCCTGTGCTCTCGCTGGTGGGGGTGGGAGGAGCTTTCCAGGAGGGGGGGGGGGGCGACGTCCTCAACGTGATGACGTCACGCAGAAGTGATGTCATCATGCCGAGGATGTCACGCAGTGACGCTCTGGTATTTTGGGCAAAACTCTATGGTTATGCAAAATACCAGAGTGTCACCACGTGACGTCCCTGGTGTGATGGCAGTTGTGGCAGGCAGGAGCCCTCGAAATTGGGGGGTCCCTCACTCCCACTTGGGGGTTGGCAACCCTGATTCGGTTCCTTATACGTCACCCCAGTTCTATCCAAATTCCCAGACAGATATGATCAGTTTTACAAGTCCCCTTTCCTTTCAGATCACTCCAAGGAAACCATCTTAAAAGGCAGCCAAATGTTGTGCTTCGGATTGTTCAACAACCTAATTTTAAAAAGATTTAATGTGGAATTTAGTGTATAATGTGGTTAATGTGGAACTTAGTTTATAATGAAATAACCTAGTTAAAAAAAGATTCAACACGGAATTTAGTTGATAATGAGGTTATGATTTTACTGTACGTGCATAATTCCTTTTATGTGTTGTTGGCTGTTGATTACGTTATGGCTGATCTAGGAAAATAATAAAATTAAGACAAGACAGTAGCCATTCCTGGAAAGATCTGCCTTTCTGTCACCATCCCTCTCATCTACACCCGCCCACCCTTACAGATTAATTACTAAGAAGCCTGCATTGTGTCCTGATGTTTTCTTCTAAAGGCCCTTAAATGCTTAAGCCTTTCAGTGCTTAGCAAGGGCAAGGACTCCACCCTCACATCACAGCTTTATGCTGGGGCAATGGTTCAATTCCTCTTCACTCTGCTTCAGGCATTCCCTGCAATTCAGAAAGAACTGGTGCTTGCCAAGCCAGCACTGTGGCAGACCCAACAAGGCGGACGGCTGGTTGGAAGCAATTTGATTGTTCCCTCTCCTGTCCAAGATGTGTTTTGAGCACCTTGCCCACAGACATGAAAGAAAGGGCGTGATGGTGTTAAAGAGGGACTGAAAACCCAAACTAGCTCTCACCACGTCAAAGCGGATGAAGGCGGTCAGCAAGGAGAGTGACATGAAAAAACCCAGTTGCTCTGTACTGTACTGTTGGGAAGGAATTAGGTAAAGCAACCTGCCGAACAGGCATGACTGTTTCGACAAACACTCCATCAAAAAACTGGCTCCCTGCTTTTGACTGGTGAACAGGATGTAAGTCAAACTGAGAGGCATTTGGGTATCCCTTGCTGCTTCTTATCCCTTTGAGAAACATACAGGCAACCTCTCTGTTTCTTCCATGAGACAAATAGCAGAAGGGGCGGGGGGCAACTCAGTCTGAGAAAACCTCAAGACCGAATTGTACTCTTCTTCCCCATAGCATGGTTTCAACCCAGTTGAGGGTTCCCCATGGCTACTGTTGACCAGTTTGAAGAATGGTGAGGAGCTATGAACATGGATCTTCTAAACAAAGTCTGAGTCCACTGGCACCTTTAAGACCAACAAACTTTTATTCACGGTATAAGCTTTCATGCACAACCACACTGTATCTGAGGAAGTGTGCTTGCCCACGGAACGTGAAACTGGACTCCAACCTTGTTCTGCTGCTTCAGACCAACACTGCTATCCCACCTGGACCTGTCTTCATGGATCTGCTAGCACTTCATCTGGTTTGATCCTTACAAGAGGAAAAATCAGATCAAGATCCAGTTCTCACAAGTTACCCCTCCCATCTCTTGGGGTCTGGACTGGACATTTTTCTGTCTGGTTGCTCATGCGGTTCTGTGTAAAACTGCACTTGCAACAACTCAAGTTGACCTAAATCCTTGCTTTTTGAAGTGTGCAAGGGCTGTCACTTAGTGGCAGAGCACCCGCTTGGCATGCAGAAGGTCCCAGGTTCAATCCCCAGCATCTCCAGTTGAAAGGATCAGGTAGTAAGTTATGTGGAAGACCTCTGCCTGAGACCCTGGAGACTCGCTTCCAGTGAGTAGACCAGTGGTGGCGAACCTATGGGACGCGTGCCGGAGGCGGCACTCAGAGCCCTCTCAGTGCGCATGCGTGCCGTCGCCCCATCCAGGCCCAGACCGTCATTAAAGTGTGGAATTCTCTGACAAATAATTTTAAGTAAATGAAAGCATTTGGGATTGCTTTCCTTACTTTGTTTGGATCATCTTATGTTAATGTATGAGTTGTTTTTTCTAAACTAAAACCTCAGTATTCAGGTTAAACTGCCGTGTTGGCACTTTGCGATAAATAAGTGGGTTTTGGGTTGCAGTTTGGGCACTCAGTCTCCAAAAGGTTCGCCATCACTGGAGTAGACAATGCTGACTCTGATAGACACCAAGGGTCTGGTAAGTGAGCAGTGACTCACGAAAGCTCCTACCCTGCCACATATTTTGTTAAGTCTTTAATGTGCTCCTGGACTGTGACAGGGGCTGTGGCTCATTGACAGACCATCTGCTTGGCATGCAGAAGGTCCCAGGTTCAATCCCCAGCACCTGCAGCTAAAAAGGACCAGGCAGTAGGTGACATGAAAGAGACCCTGGAGAGCCAGTCTGAGTAGACAATATCGATCTTGATGGGCCAATAATCCGATCGAGCATAAGGCAGCTTCATGTGTGATTCTTGCAGGGTGTGTATTCAAAATATTTTTTATGTTCTTATCAAAAGGGAATTAGATAAGTAGATGGAGCAGAGGTCCATCAGTGGCTATTAGTCACAAGGTATAGATAGGGGCTCTGGGGCAAGTGATGCTCTGTCGTCTTGGTGCTTGGGGGGGGGTCAACAGTGGGAGGGCTTCTAGTGTCCTGGCCCCACTGGTGGACCTCCTGATGGCACCTGGTATTTCTGGCCACTGTGGGATACAGAGTGTTGGGCTGGATGGGCCTTTGGCCTGACCCAACATTGGCGTCTCTTATGTTCTTATGACTCTCGCTCTTGTCTACTGCTGCAGCCAGACTGACACGGCTACCCATCTTGATTCAGGATAAGGCAGTTTTATGTGTTCACGAACAGGTAGCCGTTCCCTGCACTTTGCCACCCATGATCCAAATTAAGGTCAGGGACTCGAGGCCCCCACCTTACGCAAAGCCTTTTTTTACTTGCATGGGTTTTGACAACAGGACGGCACGCCAGTACCAGAGATGGACTTCTCTGCTTACAGAAATAAGATCACCAGAATGGGACGTTTTAGGCGCACAGTGTGGAAGGCCACACGTTGGTGCACAGAAAATTCCAGGTTCGGTCTCTAGCAACTTGTGCTGTGCTTGGACCCGCCTCCCCGCTCTCTTCTTTGACGTCCTGTCAGCTTGACAGCCTGCAAGGCGCTCTAGACACCCTCCGAGCCTACCCTCGTAATTGCTTTCCCTAATATCAACAAAAAAAATAAATTTGTTATTTAGTGCAGCGGCACATTCATTTGCTAACTAGGCAATATCGACGCCTGGGGAGTGGGGAGGAAACCCTGACCTGAACCAACCTGGGTTAGCAAATGCAATCTAAGCTAATTCATAAAAGCAACGGCTTTCCTGATGTTCTCCAAATTCAATTTTAACAGAGTTTAAATTGCATTACGGACCTCTTGATCCATGGCCGATGGGATCGCTTAAAACA